CACCTCGTTCATTGGCGTTGCTGATCGGCGACTTCGCGGGCTTCTCGCAAAGTAAGCGAAAGTTGATATTTAACCCCCCCCTCCCTCCACCTCAGCGCTTGCAGGCAGGCATCGAACGCAACAAGTGGAGTGGGGTGAGTGACGCGTGAAGAACATGCGCGTCGTCACGAAAACGCTTCCCATTTCAAGTCACTCCAAAGTTTCTTGTACCTCCTTGGCCGTTTTTTTGTTCTTGTCGGGCAACCCTCTCGAAAAGTTCGTTTCCGTAATCAGCATAACAGATCCCAGCATGCATACATAGAAGTTTCCAAGTTTAATAGTTAAACCTTTTCTTATTTTCAAACTGATATGGTTTCTTTCATTGTCATGCCCAGGTTCCTCTCTAGTATTAGGCAAGAGCGGACCCTGGATACGAGCTTCGTTAATTCAGGAGCTCTTACCGAGCTGTTACAGTAGAACTCTATTTACAGACCGCGGTAAATGCGTATCTTAAGATATCGATTTGTAGAATATAACAACAATATGATAAATGCGTAGTAAAAATACTTAAAACTATTTACAGTAACAAGAGGTTGTTGTCTTTTCTGTACAACTTTGATTAGTATTGAGTACGTATCTCTGAAATAGGAAAGACCATATTCTTTCCCATTTAAATTTAAATTTTTTCAGCCTTGCTGTAACAAATAACTCGAGAATGTTACCATGATGTAGATACAGTCACAATTTTTTTCTTCGACAATGGACAATAAATTAGAAATTGAGAAATGTGAACCACTTTATTCATGGAGGGGTAAATGTTTAAGTAAATGTTCCTGTTTTGGGCAGTTTTGTGAGAAAATTTTTTCTTTGTTTTTCTCTCCCATGAAAACAATATTTTTGATGATAATTCCACCCCCTACCCCACTCCCTTCAAAAATAAAATGTTCAATGCTCTAGTGAAGGAATTCATCATTATGAAAGCACAGTTGGTTTTGAATACAGACAGTGGTGGATCAAGGGGGGAGACTTGGGGAGCCAGCCCCCCCCACCCCCCACTGGGTCAAGGTCTAGCTCAGCCTCTGAGAGATATAATGTAAAAAGCCTTTTTTAAGAATTGGAGATACACTGATTGACATGTGGATTATTTTAGGCAAGATGAATGCTTGGTTAATAATCAATAATTCAGTAATAATTTATCATTGCTTTTAAGTGTCTAAGAAACTGTCAAAGTGACTAAAAGAATCAGAATAACAGAATTTTAAAATTGTCCAATTATATCTTTGTCTGAGTTATTAGGATCATTTATCAATGTACTTTTCTCTTTAGAATACTGAAAGCAAGAAAAAATGGTTTTACATGGATCTCAAGAAATGAAATGGTATTGATCCCTTTCTCAATCTGCTTAAAGACAATAAAATTATGCAGATTAATACTTAACCACATGTTAACTTTCACTTAATTGGTCACACACTACAGATGGATCACAAATAATCAATGATGGCCATTAGCCAATTCTCTGCCCCAGGAGAGACGAATAATCCCTCAGACAAGACCACAGAGGCTTCTCGACAACAATAGCCAAGCCTGAGGAGAATAACTGTTTTAATATAAGTACTTGGGGGATTATCAAAACAACCGAGTTTCCTTTTATTCTTTATAGCTTCCTCTTCAACAACATCAAAAAATTTCTCTGCATCAATTTTGAAAATTATTACTTCAAAATCATAAGCAATGCTTTTAGGGATTTTGGAAAAATGGGAAATGATCCGAGACTGTACAGAGAGGTGCATCTGTATAATCCCCCAGCAACTTATACACACCTGTAAACAGGGTTGTCAAAAAAATTGAGTAACCAGTTTGTGATACAAAGAAGGCAGCACAAAGTCAGACTTCCATGCTAAAAATTCAGCCAAGAGCATTTGTAATAGTTGGCATATTTTTCAGAGAAGAATGTGAAATGGGCCGGTTGCTGGCATATTTTGACAACCCTGTCTAAATAGTACAGTCAAAAAACTTGAACATACCAGTATACAATCCTGATAGCAAAATGACAAATTTAAGTTTTCCCTTCCCTAAATATTGATATTATAGCAAATTCACATCACTAGGATAAAGATCAGTGAGATCGTCACAATCAATGATGGATAAATATAACACCTTTGGTAAATAAAATAAATGTATCTACATATGGCTAGTAAATAACAGCTGAACAGTATGGTACACCAGTGTTTAAAATAGGAACCTGTCTTCATGGAGAAGATGAATAAAAAAGAAATTCCATTAACCTTGTTCACCTTTTAAAATTGCCAAAAGTTTCTAGTTAAAGATAGTTTTAGTGTTAATGCTGTGTTTCTTGTTTGAATTAAACAGTAACAGTACCACCAAAATGTTTACTTAAAAGATCAATAAGCGTGTATACCTCAGATTACTAAAATGTCTTAATAGTTACAACATATGCTTTCTAAGAGACATTGCTCAAACAGTGGACAGCACTCAGTACCTATCTGCTGGCTGAATGGCGCAGATCTTTTGCTGGATACTTGTCTTTTTACTGTATTGCATCAATTTGCTGCCCTGTAGTCAAACTCTGATCCACAGTGTTTAAAACTCCGAGTTTCCTGACTCGTCTGCAAGTGTAAGTATTCCTGATACTCACCTAGCAGACTCACTGCTTCCTGCAGATGCTTCATATTGAAATAATTTGCTCTTGTTTATATTGATGACTCCTTTGATGACGCAGTAATGTTGGTGTTATTTACTACTGTTGTTACTATAGGGGAATGCGCCAAATCAAGGCTTGAATTTGGGTTGAATTGAGATAATCTTTCTGCGACACACTGAGCTGTTAACCTGGCTTCCGCATCTTGATCCCAACATTCTTCAATTGTTTGAAGAAGGCTAGCCATGCTCTACATACAAATGATATATAAGCATTATTTTAAGTTTTTAAGATTATCGGAGCTCTCTTTATCCTTTTGACCCCTGAATATGACAAGCATCTAATTTCTTCTCACAATCACAATAAAGAAACTCTTGATTGATAAACAAAATTCTCCTTGTCAGCACTTTAGGAAGGTATGGAAACAATATGGAGAATATGCATACTGACTATTCCAGGGTTGGGGGAATTATGCACTATTTTACGAGAAATTATGCACCATTTTTTGTGATTATATGCCAAATTTAGCAAATTATGCACAAATTATGCAAGTTGTGCTATATTAATTAAAAGTATTGAATTTTACATATATTTTAAATTTATATGTAAGTCCATATTAAGAAAACCTAATTATTAATAATTATTTACCAGGATATTGCTTAACTCTCTCTTTGGCCATTATGTTGTAATTTTTTTTCTTTGGTTTGAAAAAAACTTTCCATTTTAAACACGAAAAGAACAGAAAAGAAATTTTCTGGAATAAATTTACCAAAATGGCACCATTTTTCTTTCGGAAGCGTTGATTGGTTCTTTTTCCTCCAATCATATTGCTTGTAAGTCAACAATTAGAGCCCAGGTCTCCAGCAGCAAAAGACAAGAGGCCTGTTCAATTTTACTTGTTTCCCTGCGAGTTTGACACGATTTTTCGATAAAAAATACTGTTTTTGCCATCAAAATTCACTACAATTTGAAAAAACTATTTTAAAAAGTTTTGAAGGTAGGAAAATTTATCTTTTAGGACATGGTTTTTTTGAAATATTGAGAATTACGCGGAAATTATGCACTTTTTACAGGATTATGCAAATTATGCATTTGAGCTAAAATTATGCGCTTTTGCAGCAGCGCATAATTCCCCCAGCCCAGTAATAGGATGTAAAAGGCAAACATTCTTACCGAGTGAACAAACCAGTCTGGTCGGAATTTAGGTCTGATTTTTTGCTGCACTACAACTTGCTGCATGTCTTCGAGGGAAGGATGTGACCCTATTTCCTCTTCAAATGGTAACTTGTATTCATCGACAGGACCTGACAAAAACACATTCTTCACCTTAGAATCAAAGCAAATGATTTTTTGTGGCATGTGAAACTAAACTATTTCTATCACAATAAATTGAAATGAGTCATGTTTAGAACTGCACCTAGTGTTCAAGTAAAAAAAAAAATATAAAAGATCTTCACCAGTAGGCTATAGCTTAAGAAATTACAGAAAAAAAAGGTACAAAAATTCCAGCTTCAACAGGATTGGAACTCAAGCCTTCCAGATACTAGCTGAAAGCTACTAACAACTGAGCTGTGGAGCTACATGTTGGTAGTGAGGCAGATTTTAGCAGGTTTGTTGCTCCCACAGAGAAATCTGATCACAATCAAATGAAATAAATGATTTTTTGATCTGCAGATAATAACTAAGTAGAGAAGTGATCTTTACAGGCGAGCTGCAAATTTACTGGTACAGTATTCATAGATTTTCTCACCATCAGCAGCAGTACATCTGGACACCAATTCCCAAAGAACAAGAGCAAATGCATACATATCAATGTACAAAAATGACTCCATTGTGAAGCTGATTGCTCCTTCTAGCACTTCAGGTGCCATGTAACGCCTTGTTCCAACCTGTAAAAATTGAATTATGAGAAATTAATACTTACAAATCTAAGCCATATTTTGGGTGGGCTTCATTAATTATGAACTATCAGTAAAAGTGCCAGAAGTCTTGCAAGACTACCATGATAGCATATCCTGATTTCAGAATAGAAAATGCCTAGCCTTTGGTAGCTTATCCAAGAGCATAGTATATGCAGCTCAGTCTACTGAGTGGTCAGTAGATGTTCATATGCAATACTGCACTAAGTGTCTTTTTCTCACTACAACTTTGATTTGTAGAGACCATTTCATGATTTCAGGCTGCCAAATGATGACTAAGAGACATGCATAGGATCTTGTTTTTTGGAACAGCATACAAATATTATATTGTTACCTCACATGCAAGGTTAAATGTGCAGTTCAGTTTAAATGTCCTAAAAATTCCATAAATTTTGCACTAACCATTACAAAAATTCTGATTGTGGAACCATCAGTAGTTATGGTAAAATGTTAGCAGACTAGCCAGCAGTTTTGGCCAGCTAGTGGCTCTTGATGATGACGACTTTATTTAGACTCAGATAAAAATGAGGCTTGTTAGGCCTCTAGCAATAGAGATGCTAATATACCAGGGAAATGGAGATGCTAATATACCGATGACTGCATTGTTATTAATATAATAGTATACTGTGCAGAAGTGAGAAGGGACGGGAGGGGGGGTAGGGTTTATAACATACAGTAAGCCAAATGTCTCTCCTTACACAAATTTACCAAAACATTTGTACATCAGCTTCTTAAACACACAGGCCAGAGCTGTTCAAATGATAAATGTTCTTACATATGATGCACGATCCTTCGCAGTAGATAGCGCTATTTAAGCAATAGCGAAAATCAGACCTGAAAAAAATCAGGCCTGTACGGGATTCGAACCACTGACCTCTGCGATACTAGTGCAACGCTCTACCAATTGAGATAACAAGCCAACTGAGAGCAGGCTGTTAAGTTGATTCGTAATAAACCCGTGATGATGAATCAGATACAATGAACATATGAAGTTCATATATTTTGAACTGCGGTATTAAATATGTATGACGCACGATCCTTCGCAGTAGATAGCGCTATTTATGCAATAGCGAAAATCAGACCTGAAAAAAATCAGGCCTGTATGGGATTCGAACCACTGACCTCTGCGATACTAGTGCAACGCTCTACCAATTGAGATAACAAGCCAACTGAGAGCAGGCTGTTAAGTTGATTCGTGATAAACCCGTGATGATAAATCAGATTAAATACCGCAGTTCAAAATATATGAACTTCATATATTCATTGTATCTGATTTATCATCACAGGTTTATTACGAATCAACTTAACGGCCTGCTCCCAGTTGGCTTGTTAGCCCAATTGGTAGAGCGCTGCATTAGTATCGCAGAGGTCAGTGGTTCGAATCCCGTACAGGCCTGATTTTTTTTCAGGTCTGATTTTCGCTATTGCATAAATAGCGCTATCTACTGCGAAGGATCGTGCATCATACGTATTTAATACCGCAGTTCAAAATATATGAACTTCATATATTCGTTGTATCTGATAAATGTTCTATAGCATAGAATTTTGCCTTAGCACAATACTGATGAAAAGACTTGAAAAGAATGTGAGACTAAATGTTTTGCCAAACTTATTGTATGCTGCCATAGCAATATCCTTGGCATTGAAAGGTGGCAGGGAGGACTGAGTCTCCCCAGGTTTAGCTCACCATACCCTCTTTGCACTGCTGTCTATACTGCAACCAGTACCCTTAGCTAATCAGAGCTTGACTCACCTGGCCATGTGTCTCCCCAGGGTCCCCACCTGAGTCAAACTTCATTGCCAGTCCAAAATCAGACAAACAGCAGGTTAGCTCCTTTGTGACCAGCACATTTTTACTTTTGAAATCTCTGTGCGCTATGCAGGGTTTGAAATAATTTTCTAGTACTTCTGTATGCAGATATGCAAGGCCATTAGCCATACTGCCTGCCATAGAGCACAGCTCTGTCCAGGTTATTACATGGCTTTTAAGATAGTCGCCAAGTGATCCATGCTCATGATACTCTGTTATCAACCACAGCTCAGCACTAGGGCCATTGTTGTGCTTCTCTACCCCAACAAATTTAAGAATATTTTCATGTTTCATGTTGCAAGTTGTGTAAATATCCTTTTCACAGACCCAAGCAGTCTTGTGAGCCATTGGGAAAACTTTTACAGCAACTACATCTTCTAGATAATCTGCTTTCCATACTGTGCCAAACTGTCCCTGGGAAATGACTTCCACACGCTGGATGGGTCTGAAGCCCAGCTCTGGGGACGGTGGAGGGGTTGGGTTGAGTGGTTCTTCATCCAGGATACGGGTCGGAAATGTTGTTTTATGGCGGCGATACATAAAAAACCCAATTACCAGAATAACTACTATTACAAAAAATGGAACCACTAAATAGTACATTGTGCCACCTCTGTTAGGTTGAGAAGGATTGCTTGTATTTCGAATGCTGCTTTCACTAGTTACTGTTGAGAACAAAGAGCAAAAGTTTTAATACCATGAAACACTTAAGGGCTAAAAAAAGTGTCCCATGAAAATCAATTACAACAGATTTTGCTGGTAAAACATGTACAAAAAGTTTGCCCTGCCAGCAAGAATTAACATGCTACAGATACCACTTAACTGGGAGGTTATATTATCTTTGCTCCACATAAAAATAGGTAGTACTTACAGACAGTAAACTAGATATAATTTTGTGTATGTAACTTGTGTCTCATTTCGTTTCCTGAAGTGCAACCATTACTTTCCGACAAATTCTGCTTCATACCCAGTATTTGATGTACCAGGTTTTTGGGACAAGTTAGCTTGTAACCTGGACACTGCACTTGTCCAAAGGGATAGGTGAGTTGTGTTGCAAATTTTTTGGTGTGCTATCGTCATCAAATTTGCCACATTATTCTCATTCTCATGCTTCTCATATCTATCGGTAAAGGTGTGATAGCTGGTACAAAGCAAAGGAGCCTGGTAAGGAGCAAGGTGCTCCATACCAGGATCCTTTTGGTCGCCGGGGTTGTTGATAAGTACTGGCTGCCAGCAAAATTCACAATGAAAAAGTGACGATCACTGGCTGGAGTTTTGGCTGGCGATTGCTTGATAAAGCTTAAGAGGCACTTATAAGGTCACACACTCACAATAGTCCATTTTATAGTTGTGTGCTTGGTTGCCAAGCCTTTGATCAGGAGTGAGGCTAGGGGTGACCTTGTTATGATACAAACCTTGCAGCCTTTCACATGTAAATCACTTTGTTATCATACTAAGTAGATACAGGTCTCTATCACAACAAGGTCACCTTCGGCCTCACTCTGAATCAAAGACTTGGCAACTAAGTACACAACTGTAAAATGGCCTGTTGTTCTCCTACTCTGAACCACCTCACTTGAAATTTCAGCCAGCAGTGTGATTTCTTAGCTAAAACCCTGGGTCACTATGGCCAGAAATCTATATTTCAGGAACTAAAAAGTGCAACAGAGGTCACCAATTTGAACTAAATTCCACTCTCAATTGCCAAGCCATAATGGGAAGCAATTTTGCTTAATATATGAACAAGCAACAGATGTGTTCACTTTTATTTCATCTTGAACAACAGTGCACACAGATACAATGAATCTATATTCATTGTATCTGATTTATCATCACAGGTTTATTACGAATCAACTTAACGGCCCGCTCCCAGTTGGCTTGTTAGCTCAATTGGTAGAGCACTGCACTAGTATCGCAGAGGTCAGTGGTTCGAATCCCATACAGGCCTGATTTTCTTC